TGTTGATTGAATTGTGAATTTTAAACCATCCTTGCAGTCCTGGGATGAACCCTAGTTGGTCGTGGTGTATGATCTTTTTGATAAGTTCTTGGATTCTATTTACCAATATTTTGTTGAGGATATTCACCTGTAATTCTTTTTTTTTTTTGTGGTGTCTCTGTCTGCTTTTGGTATGAGGGTGATATTTACCTCACAGAAACTGTTTGAAAGTGTTTCTATTTCTTCAATTTCTTTGAAAGGCTTGAACCAGATTGGGAGTAGGTCTCCTTTGAAGGTTTGAAAGAATTCACTAGTGAATCCATCTGGGCCAGGGGGTGTCAGAAATTTTTACTCAGTGCATATTTAAACAAATATTTCTTTCTCACCAACTGTATGCAGAGCATTTTATGCTTTATCAGAAAATCAAATATCAATACAAAATTGTTACCTGTGATACCAAGCGACTTCTGTCTTATGAAATATACATTCATTTTGTTTAGGGAGAACAACTAAAGGAACATAATTCATGTAAACTATTTTTGTTCCAAACTAACAAAACAATACATGTAATATAGCACATTTCTTAAAGAAAAGATGCATTTACTACTTTCAAGCTCAACATGGAAAACTGAAATCTTATCAATTTTAATTTTAAATATGAATAAATTATATCTGTATCCATAGCTTTACAAACCCATTTTATGGCAAGGTTTTCTCCTGATTAAACTATTTTTAAGCAGAAAAATGTAAATCAAATGCAGAGCAATGGTTAAATACTTGTCCTGATATAGTTAATGTGTAAAGTAAATCAAGTGGCAATTTAATTCCCAATGAACATGTGACAACCATGGAGTTAAATATTAGATTTAAATAGGGCAGCTAATTCTCTCCTAGAATTACATTTGTCTTTTTATATGGGCACTCTGCCTAATGAACAAATTTCTTTCATCTTAAATACAGGCATTGCTACTGGAGCCTGAGAAAATTATATAAAATTGTTAATATTGTTGCTCTGTTGCTCATAAAAGACCTTTGAATTTTTATCACCCTGAGTTCCCAGACATACATGAAATCAATCAAGGCGCCAAATTACATAAATTACCAAGGGGGAAATCTTATTAAAGTGAAACCTTAATCACCATTTGCATTTTATATAAGTTGTATCTAAAAGAAAACTTGTATAGATTCATCACCATACAATAGATAAATAAATGATGTATAGGCCTTATGTTGACTGTCAAATCATAGGAAAAAAGTAAAAGAATTTCTATCTATATTGCATTTAAACTAAATGTAGCTCAATCTCAAGAAAATTGTTGTACAATGTAAAATAGGCAAGAGAAGATATACATGATTCTATTTATATAGGTTCAAATGCAACCAAAGTTTAAGTATCTCTTGTAGGAATATATCATCAGTAACAAATCTACAAAAGAAAGAGTTGACCAAAAATTCTGGATAGTAATTACTTATGGGAGATGAATAGGAAAGTGGATACAGTCAATGAAGGAGAGAACACCTACTGTTCTGGTGATATTGATTCCTCCTCCTACCCCTCAGGGATACTGCAAGTTCAGGTCTCACCCATTGCAATGAAATAAATAGCCCAGTAAATCTAGTCACACAAGTATTTCGGTTATTCCTTGTGCATAAAAGGCATGTTTGTACTATATGATAGAAGTCTATCAAGTAAGCAATAACATTTTGTCTGATAATTATGTATATTATTTTAAAGATACTTATTGCTAAAAAGTGTAGTCCATTATGAGAGCACTCAGTCAACTACAATGGTTTGGCTAGTGATTTGCAAAGCATAGTAAAGCAAAGGTAAATATAACAGACACATCTCGAATCTGTGTGTGTGTGTGTGTGTGTGTGTGTGTGTGTGTGTGTGTGTGTCTGTGACGGTGAAGATTCCCAAGCAGTTCTCAGGAAATCCAGTGGGAAACTTTTACAGATACTCAATAAATCTGGCTCTATGGTTTCAAGATTGGCCCAGCAATGAGGTGCATGATGATTACCTGGGATACGCACAATACCTGGTGGTACTTAGCGAGTAATCTGTTTCCTAATTGTGGTCAGTGGTTCATGGGCATTTAGATTATTAGCTTTGCTTGAACTACAGATATGCTTTGGATTTGCTCCTGTTTTTATAATAAAAATTCATCTAACAAAAAAAGATTATAGACAGCTTATCAAATTAAGCCAAATAAATTATTTGTATGTGCTTAGCACTTGAATTGCCTTGTGAGTTGAAGAGGTGACAGGAGGATGGCTAGGCCTTGTTCTTGACCTCAGGAAGTCTACAGATGGGAAGTAAATCAGAGTAACTCAAAAGAAAATCCACTTAGCACAAGCCATTGAGTAATATAAGTTTGGGCACTAGAGATATAGCACAATACGTAGGGTACTACCTTTCGCTGCTGCTGCCCCAGGTTCAATTTTCAGAATCTTATATCATTCTCCAAGGACCACAGGGAGTGACGCCTGAGCACAGAGCCAGGAATAAGTCCTGAGCACAATTAGGTGAAGCCCCCAAAATAAAAACAAAAATTAATATGTTTAATAATATGTTAAAGAAGGATCCTTTGATAGACAAAGTGGTCATGTGGAACTCCCTGAAAGAACGGAAATTATATTGCCCTTTTTTTTGAAGTGAAATATATTTTATTTGGAGTTTTTTTTTCTGAAAAAGAAGAAGAAGAGAAAGTGGGAGAGTGGAGAGTAACGTATTCAGGAGAGAACCTGGGATCCTCCAAGGGCGGATAGAACTCCTACACACATTCCAGCATTAGACATGAAAGCATGAAAGTACACATCTCAAGAGGGGAGATGAGCGTGACACATGTGCTCAGGCACCACATGTGCTTGGCCACATGGGCGCAAGCAGCACTTGGGATTAGGCAGCATATGCACTATGAAGGGAGAATGAAGCAGTAAAAACGCTGGAAGATTTTTGCTGTTTTACTTTACAACTTACATATTTCCATTTCTCTTCTCATGCTTAGCACTGAAAAAGAAACTTCGTAGAAAAACCATGGAATCTGCATCCACATAAAGCTAAGTTCAAATCCCAGCTCCTTGATTCCTACCTCATGAGTTATTTAAATTCCCTCAGACTCAGTTTCCCTGTGTATAAAATGCAGAGGAATGTCAAGGTTGTAAGAGTAATGAAAGACATTGATGGCCTCACACTCCAAGCTCTAGAGTGTGTTGCAATTTCTTTTTAATAACCATTCAGGGGCAAGAAGTTCAGGAAAGTAAGGTGGTCGTGAATGGGCGGAATCTTACACTAAGGGAATCAACATTTGCTATTCTGGGGAAGAAGTGAACCTCTGAGTGTTTCTTATCAGGCTTCTCGACTGGCTCCCCTGCCTCCTGCCACTCTCTCTCTTATAGAGGCTTGGTTCTCAGGACTCTTGATTGTCTCCTGCCCATTTCCCAGGAGGATGGGTGGATGAATAGCATAGTCTCTCTTCCACGTTGCGTCTGTTCTTGTCCCTTCTTGTCTTTGACGTGCCAACAAAGGAGCTGAGAAAGCCAGAATTTAGCCAGTCTAGACCTTTCTGATCACCACAGAAGGAACTGGGGAGGCTCGAGTATGCTGTAGTTGCATTTCTCATCAGGAGGTTAAAACTGGACTGAAAATGAAAGTTTGAATGAACAATGCAAAGCTCTTGGACTTTCCCTTGTTTCCTGAGACTTTATTGAGAGCTTCAGGAGTCGAGAAAGTTAAATAGGAATATAGAATGCCTAGATTTCTTGATTTTTTCCTTTCCCCTCCAAACTCAGAATTTTAACACATGCAAAGGCTCTAGATGAGGCCTTTCATGATAAATCTATTACTTTATCATTCTTCCCTTTAAGGAATCTGTACATTCATTAATAAAGTGAACAATTTGATCACTATCTTAGTGTTATAAAAACAAGTTTTGGGCTGGAGAGATAGTGCAGGGATAAGTTGTTTACATCATATATGGTGAACTCTGGTTAAATCCCTGGCACCACATATGGTACTCCAAGCACCACCAGTTGTGATTCCTGAGCACAGAGTCAGCACCAAGCCTTGAGCACCAGTGCGTATGGCCCTAAAACCAAACCAAATAAAGAAAGCAAACACAAGAAGGTCGGAAAGATTAGAAGGAAATATCTCCATGATTGATAGGCATTTGTCCTTAGCATAGGAAAAATCACATGACAGGGCTCAGGGTGCTTAAGAACCACTTAATTTCTCCAAACCAGGAGGAAAGCATTCAAGTGAGAAAACCTGGATTACATGTGGGTCCCCAGAGTAATTCTGTAATGGGCCTTTAGCTCCCTGATTATGGGGTGGGTACATGATGTGATAATGGCCAAGTTGTGATAATGGATCTCAGTTTGTCATTCTATCCTTGTAGGGTAAACTGGAGAAGAGAGACAGAATTTTAAAGTCTTTATTTAGTTTTCTGCCCCATGTGGATAAGGAAACATAATTTGAAAAGTCTTTCTAAACTTTATTTTTCTTTATGTTTTAGTTTGTTCTGGGGGTGTGTGTGTGAGGATCACATGCAGAGATGCTCAGGACTTAGTCTTGGGTCTACCCTCAGGGATCAGTCCTGGTGAGCCTCAGGGGACCATCTGAGGTGCTGGCGATTGAACTTGGATTAGCTGATATAAATCAAGTGCCTCTCAACTTCTCTCTAGTCCCTTTCCTAAGCATCTGGACCCTGGATATCTTCCTTGCTGGCACTTTACATGCAGCAGCAGTAGATGCCACCAACTGTTCAGGGAAAGACTTTTGCATGGACTCTGGATAAGTGGCAAGTTCTACCAGAAAATAACAAAATAGCACTAACAGTGTGATGTTGTCTAGCCATTCAAGAGGGCTGTGAGGCTAGGCACTAGCTCCACCCGTGATTTGCTTTTGGTGTCCAGAGAAGAGACTTGGCCTGCAAATCTGAGATACAGGCACAGAAATTCAATGATATTTAATCACATCCATGGCCTTGATTAAAAATTCCATTCTTTTTTTTGTGTTACAGTTGTTCAGCATATCAAGCGCCACAACATCGTTCTGAAAAGGGAGCTAGGCGAAGGAGCCTTTGGAAAAGTCTTCCTAGCAGAATGTTACAACCTCTGTCCAGAACAGGACAAGATCTTGGTGGCAGTAAAGGTAAGAAAATACTCCAGAATGTCATATTGTTCGTGCTCACACAGATGATGGAAGACTCCCTTTATTTTAAATAAAAATACAAGTGGAGATAACTTTGAGTTATACTTTAAATTCAGTGAAAATTAAATTTTTGGTGGTGAATGGGACCAAACAGAATTCAAGTGACTAATGCTTGCAGACACTACTACACTGCTACCTCTGATTGCTCGGTGCTTGTGCCAAGTTTAGCTGGAGCTTCTCTCAGGTTGGAGAGTTTGCTAGAGAGGACCTTTCCTCTCAGCCTCTGTTCCACTGAGATATATATATATACATATATATATATATATATATATATCTGATATATATATATCTATATATATGTATCAGAGTATTGTAGCACTGTAGCACTGTCCTCCCGTTGTTCATCGATTTACTCAAGTGGGCCCAGTAAGATCTCCATTGTGAGACTTGTTGTTACTGTGCTTGGCATATAAAATATACATCACAGGTAGCTTGCCAGGCTTTGCTGTGGGGGCGATATACTCTTGGTAGCTTGCCGGGCTCTCCCAGAGGGACAGAAGACACTTCCTGAATGTTTGCAAGAACCACGGATTTATGCTATGTCAGCAGCTTTCCATTCTGGTGTGAATGACCACCATAAGAGGCATAAAGATGTCTGAAAGTTCTATTTCCACTTAAACTCAAAAATTAGTATTGTCCTTCAACAGAACACTGAATTTGAATAAATACTGGATGAATTCTTAATAAATATCAAGATAAATGTCTATGAAATTAATTAACTAGCTAATGAATATGGATATGGCTGATATAGTTTTTCACTTAAAATAAGAAACAGGGATTTTTTTTTGTTTCTGTCAAAATATTGTACAAATGGAGATTTTTAAAACAGTTTTAACCAGGACAACTTTTCATTTATAAAACTCAAAATATGTATTTTATTGTTGTTATAATAATGATTATATAAAGAGCAAGAGAAAGTCTTTCTTGAATTTTCTCAACTTGCAGAATAAGCACAGCTTTTGAATGAAAAATTCATCTACTTTTTTTCAATGTAAGAGCACTGCTATTTATTCAGCCATTGATTAAGCTGATTGAATAGGGTATGAATCCATATTACTTTAAAAATTTTTAATTGTATATCTGTGAGATAGACCATTACAAATCTGTTGATAATTGAATTTTAGTCACACAATGATCCAACAACCATCCCTCCACGAGTGTACATTTCTCACAAACAAATGTCCCTTGTTTCCCATAACCATCCTCTAACCCCCCAAATCCCAACCCCAGCCTCCCTCTATGGGAGACACTTTCCTTCTTTCTCTCTCTCTCTCTCTCTCTCTCCTTTTCCTTTTGTGAATTATGATTTGCAATACAGGTGCTAAGAGGTCATGGTGTTTGTTCAGGGCATTCAGTATTTTTATTGGGACCGTTTAGGCTGGAGTATCTTTTCAATTGGGTGGCATCTTTGAAGTGTGGATGTGACTGCCAAGGTTTCTGGAAGTACAGGGAGGTGGAGGTAGGTGCCCATCCAGACCCCAAGAAATCCTGGAGATTTCAGTCACAAAACCCGCTTACCAGAATTTTCAGTAGATTATATCTTGGTGAGGTTCATCCTGAGATGATGGAGTCAGGCTGGGGGTATGGCAGCGATGTTGGATTGTAGAAGCAAGCAGTTGCTGGGGGCTCTGCTTGGGTGGGCACGAGCCAACCTGCCCCCCTCCAATTTACCTGGTCTGTTCAGCCATGCGTGGGATCAAGCTTAACTCTGGCTTTTGATCTCTTTTGATATTAATTATGGGTCTCTGAAGCAAGGTCAGTAGTAGAACTTACATGGTGGTTCTGGAATTAGTTTGTGGGGATGACTGCCAGTGCTTCTATGAGTATTGGGAAGTGAGAAGAGGTAGTCCATCCCAACTCTGAGAAAGCCAGGAGATTTCAGTCACAAAACCTGCATACCAGAATTTTCAGTAGATTATATCTTGGTGAGGTCTGTCCTGAGACAGTGGAGTCTCTATGAGTCTCTGAAATAAGACCAATAAATGAGATTGTATAGCTGAGCTGGAGGTGGTTTGTGGGCATGGCCCTCACATACCTAACTTTTGGCCATTTAAATTCTTGGTAAACTTGGTCCCAAGTTGTTGGGGTCCAGCCAAAGGCACAGCAGCAATTTTTGGGTATCAGAAAGCCTTAAGACACCATCAGGCTGCTGGTAAACTTGCCCGCAGGTACAGGTTGATCTGCTAGTGGCACCATACCCCTCTCCCTCTGTATTTACTTTCTTTGTCATCGAAAAGACATCTAGAGAGTTACCATCTAGAGAGTTCTTAGACTCTCCAGAAAAGCTGTACCTCAGAGTGTAAAAGGGTATATAGATTACTGGGGGATCATCAATGAAGCATGTGCCAGGCAAAGATCATGTTGTTAACATAGGCAAATGAAGGGGAGAATGAGATAGAAGAGAGAGGCGAGGAGAATAGATGCTAGAGAGAGAAGAGATCAAGTAGTCTAGATGTCCGTGTGGGAATGCCTCTATGACTCTGGGTCTGTCTGGTTCCATCTCTACTGCTTCCTTCTTTCTTTCAATACTAAATGGTTGCTTCATTAAACATTATTTTAGGTAGAAAATGTTCAGAACATTTAGCAGTGTTATGACTGTAGTCTTTGCTTTCTTCTGCTGTCTGCACCCACTCCCCATGACTCTTGGTTCAAAGAGACCAACAGTTACCTCTATTTTTACAGATTCATATACTAGTGTCAGAAGAATTTATAATCCTGTTCTAGCGATGTGCTAGAGATAGAGACTAAAGATCTGGATTCAGTTTAGGGTCCCTGTTAGTGGCTATTTGGGGTCCACCAAAGGAAGCTGAATTCAGTCTCTCAATTTGCTTTCTCATGTTAGAAGGTGGGAGTCTTTGCATGTGACCCATTTCTGAAAGGTTAGGGAATCTGAGATGGAAGTGTGGGAATCATTTCTCTACCCTGACCAAATATTAAAATAGCCATTAGTAACTCTATTTATACTAGTATGTACTTCTAGCAACATGCTAATGAGAGTGTATTGCATGTATAAGGCTGTATCCCCTCAATATTTATACTGCATTTCCTTTCAAACATGCTGAAACCGGTCCTCAGTGCCTAGGCAAGTGATGATGAAGGATTGGAGACAATGTTGTGTAAATGGTTGCCTTGACCCCAGCACAATTCTCTCCAGGAGTACTGACACCTTTACCATCAGGGGTAGGGAAGTTTCTTTCTAGTTTTATCTCCACTCATATTTCTAATCCTATCTCTGACCCAGATCCAAGACCTAGTTCTCATACACATTCTGACTTTGTGAAATAAGTATTTGCAAATTATGGCCTGTTGAGAAGGTTTGCCCTCTAATTAGATTGTTACAAAAAGGATTCTCCCACTCTGCTCAATCCTGACCCCTTCTCTTTGCTGGTTCTCTTTTTACTGAAATATAAATAAAAATCTTTATCTCAAGTAGAAATGACAAGAATGAATGCCTATAGATGAAACATTTATTATAACTTCAAGATGACACATTCATTTAATTAATTAATTTTAAAAGAATTGGTGATTTGGGGTTCACACCCAGCAGTGCTCAGGGATTACTCTGGCTTTGTGCTCAGGGATAACTCCAGGTGGGTTCAGGGAACCATATAACATGCTGGGGATCCAACCTGGGATAGCAATTTGAAAGGCAAATGCCCTCTTTGTGGTACATTCTCTCTGGCCCCCTCAAGATGACACATTTAGAAATATTTATTTCAGTGGATTCAAATATGAATTTTTGTTGAAACCGGTAGCTTTGCTTATTTCTGGAATTAAATTAATTAAAGGTTTAGAGAGGTTGCCTGTTTTAACTCTCTGGAGTGCGAAGGTTGTAGCCACACAAGAAAAATGTTAAATCTTTCATGACCTCTAGCATGAGCTACACCAGAATAACACAAAGACTTCACAGTACTGCCTCTGACATGCCTGACCAGTTCTTATTCAGAGCATCAACTAATTTCACGCATATTCAAGGAGGATGTAAATGAGCCCAGGAGTAAAAAAGTCTATGGTTCAGTGTGAATTACAACCAAAGGTTTTTTTTTTCAGGAATGAAACAAACTGAGAACAACTTCCCAGGTCAGCACAGGCTGCCATCCCTGAGCTAAAGGGCTGCTGGGCTGTTTCTCTCCCTCTGGAAGCTCCAGGGCTGTGTGACAGCTTGTCTCTCTGTTCCCTGGCAACCCCTGTTCCATTGATTATGCATGCTAAGGAACAGTAGCTATTGTCTTTTTTTTTTTTTTTAAATCTAGGCGCTGACTGTCTTGAAACACAAGGCTCTGCATTCAGATTGACAAATGTCAGGCATCGGGCTTCAGTAATTTCTGGTGTTGCTTGGTTCAAATAATTTAAGAGGTTAAGGCATCCATAGGATGGATTTAAGGTGGATGTGATCCTAAGCAATTGTAGGACACTGGAGTACGGGGGTGGGGGGGTGGATAATGCCACTCTTGCTAGTATATGCATGCTTGAATTCAACCGTATTGCCTTTCTCTTAATATTTTTAGATGACCTTTGTTTTTCAGTGAAATAGATTTGCCGACCTTTTATCTCATTGTCACTGAATTACAACAGAAGAATAGAGAGGATGAGAAGGAAAGAAACCAGTCTTTGAGCAAAATGAGTTTCTTTATGTTTAAGTAACTTAATTGCCAAGGAAACGTTTCATAGCAGTGCCCTTGCATTAACTGTGGCTGCATTATCTATTTTTGGTTTTACCCAACCTGCATTTCAATACCTCCAAGTTTTACAACATTTGTGTGTGTGTGTGTTGTGAATGCATGCTGATTTTTGTTTTAAAAACATGGCCACAAATGTGCTTTTGTAGGATTTAAGTTTCTCCTTCCCTTTTCCACTAACAGGTATATTGCTAGAAACATAATATAAAACTCTGAACATAAACAGCATTTCAGAAGTTGAAGATAACTCAAGCCTCATGC